CATTCTACTGTTCCCACATCAGAAAAGCCAGCCGAGTTCTTTTATGCTCTGTATTTTGGTCACACTGTTACTATTCCACACCTCCAAGCATTTTCTGCTAAAGAAGCTGACTGAGCAAACCCATGAAGATATTTTTCATTTCCTTTGATGGAACATAATGCCTTCGAATATAAACACAATAACACAGTCATTACATATGCACTTACATTATTGTAGTGACTGTGTGCTCAGCAACACTCCCAGCCAGGCAGGGAGCCCAATAGTTCTCTTTTCCATTCTGATCTAAATTATGTTCATAATAAAAGAGTTTTCAATCAAGGTAAATACAATTTCATCCTGGCATAACATCTATATTCCTGCTCTCATTTAAAAAAAAATTCCTTTCTTTTATTCTGGGTCACTCACCCTGATACACAGGAGATTGTCCTCTGGTGAGGATAACAGCCTCGCTTCTCAATGAACTATAACAATGGCTCTAAACGCATGCCCTGTAACATACCTCTGTGATTTACAAAAGCAGGAATAAATCAAAGCCGAGCAGAGATGCCACGTTAAGCCAGAAGCTAAATGTTACATCATGTCGCGCAAGGCTGGGGGAAGAGAGAGGCTGCTTTTTCCTGGCAGCACAATATCTTTGTGCTTGTTACCTTCGCCACAGCCCCATTAAAACAATCATTCTGAATCTGTGGGAAATTGTCACCTCCTTCCTCCCTGCCATGGCAGCTGGTATCAGAGGCTGCAGACATTGCTCATTCCTTTCAGGGTTCTTAACACACAGGCAAAAAAGAAAATGAAGCTTAATTTATTAAAAAAAAAAAATAAAGTGTCAGCTTACCCCGAGGCTCAGTGCAGGCACCAAGGGGGAAAAAAAAGATGAATGCCTCTGGGTGAACTGGCACCGGCTGTAATTCTCTGCTCACTCTGCTTTGCACTGTATGCATAGCATTAATCATGAGGATGGGGAGGCATTTCAAAAACTTAAGCAATTTAAAAACAAAGACGCACCATTTTACAAGCACAGTAACAGAGCTCTATTTTGCGATTCTTTCTTTGTGCCAGCTTGGAATCTGGAGAATGTGCTGCAAATGTGAAGTAAATAATTGATGGGGGGTGGGGGTGGGAGTGGGGGACAGGTGGGGAGAGGCGGGAGGAGACACACAGTGCTGCCAACTGGTGCTCCTCCCTGACATTCAGTGACCTTCCAGAGATCATAGGGAGGGACCCAGTCTGCCTTCCTACTCTCTGGAAGGCTTAGTTCCACCCCAGCTCATGGGAGCATTCCCATGAAAGATGGACAGTGTTTAGACAACTCCATCATTTCATCCCATGGATGGAAGATGCTGGTCTCTCAGACCCGAGAGTCCAGCCACGTCCCCGGGGCTCCTGTGTGCTCTGCTCCTAATGAGCTGAGTGAGCTCTTTCGGGGTTTTCTTCCCTTACCCTTGTGACAGGAGTCAGAGAGCCTTCCAGCCTTGTGGCGGTGCCCTGGCTCCTGTGCTGGTCTTCCTGATGAAGACCCTTGCCAACTCCAGCACAGTGTGCTGCCTGCCTTGCCTGCCTGCCTGCCTTGCGGGAGGTGCCCGTCTCCTCCGGAAATCCTAACGTCCACGTGCTGACCTCAGCTCTTGGGTTGCTTATGTCTGGTTTGCAGCTCTAACAGCTTTTGCACCCTCGCTGGGCTTGCCAGCCCTGTCAGTATCTCTATTAGTCAACCCTATTTTTTTTTTTTCTCCTTGTGAGAAATGTTGGTTCGGATTCTTTGCCCATTTTAAAAACAAGTTATTTGTTTTCTTTTTATTGTGTTGTTTCAACTTCTTCTGTATTTTGATGTCAGTGTCTTATTGGATGCAGGATTTTCAAATATTTTTCTCCCATTCTGTGGATTGCCTCTCGGCTCTTATTTTGAATGCAGTGCGATCCCATTTGTCTGTTATTTTTTTTTTTGTCTATGCTAATGGAGTCCTGCCTGAAATCATTTATCAGGCCAGTGTCCTAGACTCAACCTCCAATGTTCCTCAGTATTTTCTTCTGGGCATCTTTCAGTTTCAGGTCTTACATGTAAATCTTTCATCAACTTTGATGGTTATTTTTATAACCATCATTTTATCTCATGAGGTGAGATAGGGTTGTAGAGGGTAACCAGCAGTATTGGCAATAACCTATAATTTGTGTGTGTGTTTATATGGGGAGGTGTCTACAGGACTGCTTAGGCCAACAACACAAAAATAATGTAATCCATTCCTGTTACTGGGGTTTTATTTGGTAGCATATGATGTCTAGCTGGGATAATATCTCACCAGTTATATGGTAACTCCATTTAAATGCATATATATATATATATATATATATATGCTTTTATAGCCATATCTATCTATCTATCTATCTATCTATCTATCTATCTATCTATCTATCTAATATCTCTATATCTATCTATATCTCACAATCTATTCATGATCTACAGTATTTTTGTAATACCTTGCCTAGTTTTTGAATCAAGGTAATGCTGGTCTTGTAAAATGAGTTTGCCAGTGTCCAGTCATCTTTATTGTTTGGAGAAGAGTTTGAGAGATATTGATTTAGGTCTTCAGATGTCTGGTAGAATTTGGCAGTAAGGCCATCTGGTCCTGAGTTTTACTTTTGAGAGATTATCTTTGTTATTCATTATTGCTCTACTCAGATTTCCCACTTCCTCCTGATTTGGCAGTTTGCATGCTTCCAGGAATCTGTCAGTTTCTTTCGTTTATCTGATTTCTTCTGTAGGTGTCCATAGCAACTTCTTATGATCCTTGGTATCTCGAGAGTGCAGTTGCAATGACCATTTTTCCAGTCATAATTGTTTAAAGATTTGTTTATTCTCTCTCTCTCTCTCTCTCTCTCTCTCTCTCTCTCTCTCTCTCTCTCTCTCTCTCTCTCTCTCGTGTGTGTGTGTGTGTGTGTGTGTGTGTGTGTGTGTGTGTGTATCTGTGTCTGTGTGTGTATATGTGTGAATGCTTGCATGTGTGTATGTGTACCACATGCATGCCTGGTGCCCACAGAGGCCAGAAGACAGCATCACTTCCCCTGGATCTGGAGTTACAGGCAGTTCTGAGTTGCGGTGTGGGAGTTGGAAATGAACCTGGGTCCTCTGCAAGATTACCAAGGCCTCTTAACTGCTAAGCCATCTCTCCAGCCCTCTGATTTTGTTTGTTTGAGCCTTTTTATTTCTTTTTCATTCTGGTTAAAGGTTCGATGATTTTGTTTATTTTTTCCCCCAGAAACAGCTTTCAGTGTCTTTGATCTTGACTGGTGTTTTTCTAGCTTCTGCTTTTCTTCCTCTTTCCCTCTCTCTTCTCTTCTCTCTCCCATCCCTGCCCCATCTGTTCTAATAGTTTTTATTTCCTTCCTTCTCACTTTCAGCTCACTTTGTTCTTCATTGGCATACAACCCCGGGAGTTGCTTATTTGAGACTGGTCTTCTCTTGTGATGTAGCTGTTCACATTTTTGCAGTAAAGTTTTCTCTTAGCTGCTTTTGTTGGAGCTCATAACTTGACTATGTTGTGTTCATGCTGCTGGAGCTCATAACTTGACTACGTTGTGTTCCTGTTGCTGGAGCTCATAACTCATAACTATGCCATGCCTCTACTTCTCCTGTTTTCTTTTCTTCTGGTCTCAGAACATTTAAATGTTCTTTTTGATTTCTTTTTTGACCCTTTCAACATCCTGAAGCCTATTGTTTCCTTTCCACACTTTCTAAATCTCCCAGAATTATTATTATTTTTTTTTGCTAATTTCTACTTTCACTGTGGTCAGAGAATATGTTTAACATCATCTCAATTTTCTTAAATTTGTTAGACTTGCTTTGGGATCTAACATATCATGTATTTCAATTCAAGACTATTGAAAAACTATGAAATATATCATGTTTACACAAATTTATAGCTAGTGTAACACGAATTGTAAAGCTAATTTAGGAAATAAATATTACCTACACTATTGAAACTCTCCTTTTTTATTTCATTTGTTCCTACACACTTGCCTCACCAGAAATCATTAATATTATGAAATTAGGGTTTGTTTATATATCATTCCTGATATTTACAATATGCTTTTGGTTATGTGTTGCACAAGTTTATAAATGATGTTGTTTTACTTGCTATATAATCTAATGAAATGGTTCCTTTAGATATATATTCCTCAACAATGCTTTCCCCCCTTTTCAGGATTGTGAAGTGTATCCATGTTCTAATTCTGGGACAGGCAAAGTATGGCCCGTGGGCTCAATCCATCTGCTGGTTATATATAGCCCTGAAGCTAAGGATGATTTACATTCTTAAAATTAAAAAATAAATAAAGTCAAGGGAATAGATGTGACAAAGACCATATGTGGCCAACACAGCTCAGAATATTCATGGTGTGGCCTTCCACAGAAAAGCTTGAGGACTCCTTTCTTGAGTTTTGTCTGCTAATCTCTCTTTGTTCTACATATGTGTAAAAAGTCTATCAAGTTTCATGAAAAACCTTTTTAGGACTCTAATTGAAATGTATAGGTTGTTTGGAGGAGAAGTAATGAATTTTTGATATCTTACTTTTGATCTATATGTCATCTATTGTTATTATAACAAAAATAATTATTTTGTAGCTTGTAATATTACATTTTTAAAAATCTTACATTTGTTTTAGGTGAACCATGAATATCTCTGGACTAAAATCACAGGCTGTGTTCATTTCTGTATCTTTTAGAGGAAAGAATGTATCCTTTCCCTTATGACTTCTAGAAGTTCTCCACATTCTTTAGCACCCTTTGTCTCTGTAGCCAGCCTCCACTTTTCTTGTTACTTCTTCTTGGATCCTGAGCCTTCTTCCTCTCTTGTCATTTGTAATGGTCCAGTGATAACACTTGGCTAGTCCAGTTAATCAAGGCTAATCTTTCATCTCCAGGGAACAATCTCTAAGCTGTCATAACTTTACCTAGAATCTTAATTCATTTTTTTTGCAGTGTGACATCACATGTCATGGGTTCCAGGGATCAGGATGAGGACATCTTTTGGAGGGACATTCTTCTGACGATCCACCTATCTAGTGAGTCTTGCAGTTGGTATAGATTCTAACACTTGCATTTGGTTCTTTTCCCCACTTCTTTGCTGAGACTATTTCTTCATTTGTTTTCCAGTGATTTTAACTGCTGGCTGGAATGTTTTAAAGAGAGCTGTTCTGTAACGCTTTTCCTCAGGTTTGTGTGTTGTTGTTGACATGTGTTGATTTTCTTACCTGAGTTGAGCTTCCCTTACATTTCTGTATGGCAGAACTGCTGGATTGTTCCCCATATATTTTGAGAACAGTGTTATGACACTCTTATTTAGGCCTTCTGTTATAGATGGCAGTTAGCAGGTTTAGGTTAAGAATACACAGCCCGGCCCACTTGGAGGCTTTGTGGATCAAATGTCAACTTAATTTCCAAGGGCATTACAATGTCATTTTGATAAGCTCCACTGTTTGTCAACCATATGCTGATCTAAAACTCAGGCAGGAATGCTAACCAGAGTTCAATTCTCAAAACTTTGGTTGTGTTGTCTCTAACTGGTCTGTTATACTGCTCTCCTGGGAACACTCTGAGACCTCATAATTAGACGGAAGATTCCTTTTCTCTTTACACAAACCCAAACCTAAAAAACTCACTCTCTAGCCTCTGCACACATCTTTTAAGTGTAGTGCAGAAATTATTGACAGGGTGTAGGTGGAGTTTGGGACAATAACTGAGTAATACCTCCATTCAAAGTAGTATGGACAGATAGGGTGAAGGAATAGTTTTATCCTTTTTGTTGTAAAAGTTTTATTTATTCTGTTACATGTATTGGTGTCACACGGTTAGAACTGTTCTTACACTTCTAGGCATTTTTAAAAAAGTAAATTGGACTCCTGAGGAAATTTGATTGGCAATTTGAAGAGGATGGCAGAAAATCATTATAAAATATGCCATGGCCAATGTTTCCATAGTTGGGGATTGGTACAATTTAATAGCTAAACTGATCCTGTATCATTCACAAGCTGCTGCCTTGAAGAACAATGGGGAGTTTTTATAGTAATTTGAAAGTGCTTGAAGCGTATAGAAAAAAAAAACAAAAACCTAAGCCAAACCCAAACAATAACAACAGAAACCTCTTAGAGCAGCTTTTCTTCTGTCCATTTGGGGAGAAAATGGGAAGGAAGAAACTTGGAGGGCTGTGGATTTTCTCATAAAAGTCATTAGGAAAACAATGTAAGAATTGACAGGAAAGAAAGGGAAGGAGAGGAGGTAAAATAGTAATGTGTTAGTGGGCTGGAAAGATGGTTCAGTAGTTAAGAGCATTGGCACCTCTTCCTGAGGTCCTGAGTTCAATTCCCAGCAACCACATGGTGTTTCACAGCCATCTATAATGGGATCTGATGCCCTCTTCTGGCCTGCAGGTGTACATGGAGATAGAACACCATATATATAAAATATATAAATATTAAAAAATAGCAGTATGTTAATAGGTATATAAGATGTGTAAGATGTATAAGAAAATATTTTAGATTATCTAGGAATGAGGTGACTCACATGGGAAAAAACATAATCAGGATCCACCCATTTCTTGGAGGTAGAGAAGGTTGGCCAGCCTAGAAACCAGGGCTTTATTTGTACCAATGCAGTGCATCGATATTGCTTGTTAGAACACTTTGCTTGTGGTTGGATGAGATAGATTAATAGTATTAACTTAGAAGTTTTGATTGTACTTATTGCAAGCCACGAATGCGCAACCCATGCTTTTCTGAAATGGTTATCAGAAATAAATAAATAACATGTTAAGATAATGACTTTGGACAAAGTTCATAGTCACTGTTGAGGGATCTAGGGGAGACAAAGAGTACTTAGAAGTTCTTAATGTATTTACTTTATGCTTCTTAGCAGATGATGGGGGAAGTCACTGAAATAATACAAACTGGAGGAAGAGTAGAACTATAAGTTGAAAAGAAGAGTTTGCTTCTTCAAGTATGAACATGAGATGCTTATTCTTCTCAGTTGCTGAAACAGGTAGCTGTGAAGTCATGGAGTTTCAAGGGGGATATCTACATTGGAGTTTTAGTCTTGGGTCTCATCAGCAGACAGATGGTGTTTGAGGTCTTCAACTCAAGAGAACAGACAGAAAAAGAGAGGAGGACCAAGTCTGAAGTCACAGTAACACTTTGAAATTGGGCAGAGGTATCAGAGATGGAAGCAAAGAGATGCTTATGTCACAGAAGTCAATAGAACTGTTTCTGAAAGAAAATTGGCCAATGATTTCAGCAGCTGATTAAAAATAGAGTTGCATTTTACTTCTTGGAAGGAGGTCATTGTGGGCCTTGAAAATAGCCACAGTTGTGGAGATAATAATCCAGTTAGTGCATCATAAAGAAAATGCTGTGGGCATTCACCCTCAGAGTGTTGCACACATTGATCAATAAAGAAGATAAAGGACAAGTGTAATCCAATACAGCTCAAAAACTTGTGCTGGAGAGAAGTATTATGGTTTGAATCTGAAATGTCACCTACAGGCTCACATTGGGAACACTTGATTCTCAGCCTGTGGTGCTATTTTGAGGGTGGCGGGGGCATTTAGTGGTAGGGCCTGGCTAGTGAACGTAGCTCATGGGGTGTGAGGCAGGGAGGTTGAAGGTTGTATCAGCTTCTGGTGTCATCATGCTTTCTGCTTGCTACTCTGCTCCATGGGAAGGCTTGCTGCTGGAAGCTCCCACGGCCATGGAGAAGCTGGTTCTACCACCAAGTCTTCCCCACTGTGATGGATGGAGAATCTCAGGATCCATGTGCCAAAGTAAATCTTTACTTGTGTTGATTCTGTCAGGTATTTTGATCACAGTGTTAAGAAAAACTACCAACACAAGAAAGGCAAGGGCCGAGGAGATGACTCCATTGGCAAAGATATTGAGATATAATAAGCATGAGGACCTGAGTTTGCATCTCCAAACCTGATATAAAAATTGGGTGCAGTGGTGCATGCTGGTTAGTCCAGCACTGGGGAGATGGAGCTAGGAGGGTTCCCGGAGCTCCAGTGCGGGCCAGCCATTCTCATCGAATTGGTGAGCTCCAGTGCGGGCCAGCCATTCTCATCGAATTGGTGAGCTCCAGTGTGGGCCAGCCATTCTCATCG